ATTATTATTTTTCTTTGGTTACCAACCGTTTTTCTTCCCCAAATTGCTAGAAAACATAGAGACCAGGTAATCCTTATCCCTAGAGAGTCAAGGGTTAGCTTTATATGAATTTTTGTTTGATGTAACCTTGATGCTTAAGACACTATAGTTATGTTTTATATTAAATTTATTAGAGTGATTCTAATCTTCATGGAATAATCAAATTATTTATTTGAAATTTATGTAATCCTAATCCCTAGGTATCCTAATCCCTAGGTGCTCTTAGGTTAGTTTTATACGAATTTTGTTGGGTATAATCCTAGTGCTTTAGAAATAATAGATTAACTTTTATAAGAAATTTTGTCTAGTGTAATCCTGATCCTTAGGGCATCTTAAATTAGTTTTAGATGAAATTTGGTGTACATAATCCTCTAGGTGATCGTAGGATAATTTTATATTAAATTTGTTAAATGTAATCTTAATCTTTGGGAAATTTTAGGATATTTTCATATATTATATGTAACTCTTAGGGTATCTAAATTAAATTATTTTAACCTCTAGAAATAATTGGATTAATTATTGGATTTTGACTTTACTATAATAGATGTGAACATTGGAATTATGATTTGGAAAATTATGATATGATGGTTGGATTTGGGTTTTACTCTGGTAGATGTTGAATATGAAAATTATGATATTCTTGGATAATGGATTTGGAAATTATGATATTCTTAAAAAATTGAATTTGAAAATTATGCTCTTGATTAAATTGATGTGGAGATTATGAAAAATATTTGAGGAAATTTTCCAATTATAAAGATTGTGACAAGATTGAATTTTATTGATTGTGTGTGATTGTAATAAATAATAGTGGGAAGATAGCTTTTGGGATGGTACCTACCTGCTAAGAGTGATGAACACAACCTTTGGGCTTTATGCCTTCAATATTACATGATGTGACAATGATGTTTTCCGTTCTTCCTAAAGTGATATCTGGAAATAGGGTTTCCCGGGTACTAGTAGCAACTTTGGGAAGAGGTGTGCACACTAAGATTTGATATTTTGATATGGCCAATTTTGATTATACGCGGCTGGCAACAAGATTTTCCGGGTCACGGGATAGACTGGCAAAAGGGTTTCCCGGGTACTAGTAGCAACTTTGGAAAGAGGTGTGCACACTAAGATTTGATATTTTGATATGGCCAATTTTGATTATACGCGGCTGGCAACAGGATTTCCCGGGTCGCGGGATAGACTGGCAAAAGAGTTTCCCGTGTCTACCATGGTTCTCTTCCCACTAAACCCAATAAATACACTAAATGAACTTAATAAAGATTATGAATAATATTTGATTCGATGTGAATATATATTGAAGTTGATAATTTGATGTGATTTTGATGGGAATATATGTGATGAATATTGAAGTTGATATTTGATGTGATTATGATGAGTATATTATATATATGATGAAATTGATATTTGATTCAACTATTATGGAATTATATTTTTAATTTGATTACTATATTTAAGTTATATAAATTGTGTTTTGAATTATCCATGTTGAGCTATGTTGGTCCATTGTAGGTGCTTTGTTATCATCAAAACTTCAATATCGTAGTTTTTACGACTTATGGTTTAACAATCCCCCCGTTTTGATGATGATAAACACTTAATTAAGAAATGAGGATAGTAGCATGAGAAATCAAAATCAAACTTTCCCTAACAAAAACATAAAGTAGCTTAATTCCCATTGGTTCTTAGAAGACACTTCCTTAGACTTATTTCATGCATAGGTGGTGTGGAATATGAAGACCAAGACAAGGAAGAATCATCTTGCACTTAAAAGAAAACATAGCACACAATTGTTGACTTTTTAAAGTTTATGTAACTTAGTTTCTATTGGTTATTACTTTACATGTAATACCTTTGAAAATTGACCAACCAATCATAAATTAGCATGATTACACATGGGATATAGCAAACAAAGAAAAACAGTCATTTTGGACCAAGAATTAAACCTAGGTGTAAAGTTAAAGTTTACTTTTAACCTAGTTGACTTTTTAATTAATCAATCTTTGACTTAATTCTTTAAATTAGTCTACACATCATTTAATTAAATTAGACACATATATAACCGTAAAATTCATCAGAGAATTTAACTAGACTGTCTAGACTGTCAAAACTCGGTTCAGACCAAGTTTGCAAAATCACCAAAATACCTTTGTTACCATAAATTTCACATTTATGTCTCTAAATGTAACTTATGTTCTTTTTATATCCTGATTGACTTGTTAGGAATGAATTGTATCCTCACATCCATTATCATGGTAGTCTCATAATTCAACTGTTAGAATTCTTTAACAGTAATAAAATTCACACACTGTCTCTCTTAACTCTCAATTTAACATAGTTTGAGAATTAGGGTTGTTACAACCTCAAACACTTGAGTGTGAGTGAATTGAAAATCCTAGTGAGGGGTGTTTTGATGAAATCTTCCTACTCTTTGTCTTGAGAACTCCCGTTATGATTCTATGACTTTTGGATTATGAATACTTGCTTGATTTGGTGTCTCATTATTTTTATACATTAAGCCTGAACACTCCGTTGATTGTGATACTGATTGATTAACTTGTTAAAAATTCATTGAGCACATGAATTCATTTCCTTCCCCATAGTTTTGTTTTAATTGATTGCTGGGGACAACAATATTCTAAATCTATGAATGATTTGATAAACCCATAGCTTATCATGTTTTTAAAGAACTAAAATCACTCTTATATCTAGTCAAAAGCATGAAAACTTAGAGTTATTTGGCTAAAAAGCATGGAGGTTGAATTATTGACTCATGTGAATAATTTTTGCTTGTTTTGTAGGACAATTGAGTTGAATTTGAGCATTGGAGCAATGGTTAAGCTTGAAGGACTTAAAGCGATAAATGAGAAGCAACCATTAAGTGAAAATCTCCATATACCTATCTTTCAGCCAAATTTTTTGTTTCTAATATGATGGATTTGGATCTCGTGTTCTGCATAAAAGTTGTAGATCTCTCTTTTATCTTTGCAATAAGACCAAGAACATATCAATTGGACGCGCATAGCGTAAGTTATGGCCAAAATACAAAATCATATTTTTGTTGTCAAAATAACATGTTTTAGCACTTTTTAATGCGCTCCAGCCTGTTTAATGCCCAATTGCGATCCAATTAAGGTCCATTACATGGTTTTCGCCTAAAACAAGTATTCCTACACCTATTTAAGTTATTCTTCATGATTCTTTGACATAACTTGACATTGGAGGTGTAGTTTTCATCGGAGGAGCGAGTCTTTCATGCTTTTGAGAGCCGGAGACGGGTTGCGAGATTATGCTGGAAACCTTGAAGATTCACCGCACTATCGCATCAATGGAGTTTGGGGAAGCTTCTTGTTTTCTTGATTTCACCATATTAGGCTAGATTTTCTTTGTAGTTAGGGCTATATGGAACCCAATTGAATCTCTATGCTTCTGAATTAGTCTTTAATGTAATTTTTCCTTTTTATATTGAATGAATGTGTCTTTACTTAATGCTTTCTATGAGTTATTCTTGTAGATTGAATTAGAATTCAAATATGACAACAGGGATGTTGTTATATTAATTTGGTTTGACTCATTCATCATTAATTTGTATGACTCTAGGAATAGACATATGAATTGTGCCACTTTTATGATTCTTTATATTAATGTTTAAATTTTTTTGAGAAACACCAAGAAATTAGGATTCTCTTAAGGGAGTAAATGGTTAGAATGCCAAGGGATTGTGTTTTAACTAAGTTAGGGGAATTGGTGGGCAATATAAAAAAGGCGATTAATGAAGGTTTTAATTTAGAACATAAAGGGAAAGTTGTAGGAAGTTGAATCCCTAACTGTGTTTCTTGATTGACAAGTAATCCAAATTTTACCTTCTTGCTTTGTTATTTTGTTTGGTTTTCATACAATATTCATGATCAAATTTCATTCAACTCTATTGATTGATTATCCAACTTAAGTGTAAATAACGAATTAGTGATTGAAATTCTAATCCTCGTGGGAACGATCTTGTACTCAATACACTTTATTACTTTTACCACCGGTACATTTGCCAAAGTCACAACATGACTCCAACGATGACTGATGACAATTATGGTGGTTGGCTGATGATGGTAGTGATGGCGATGATGATAGTTGGTGCCAGGTGGTTAGGGTGTGACAATGATAGTTATGGCTGGCTTATGGTGGCGGTTGGTGAAATGGTGGCAAGTGTGGGTGGAGGTGACTAGTGGAAATTGTGGGGGCTGATTGATGGTAGCGGTGGTTGGAGGTGATGATTGCCGATGATTTTGGTGGTGGCGGGTAGTTGATTGGTGGCAATTTTGGTTGCAGACTAATGGTTGGTGGTGGCCGTAATAGGTGGAAGAGATGGCCGGTGGCTAGCCGATGGCAAGGGCTGACTTTCACGTGATTAACAAAGTTTGTAACTATAATAACTCGAAAAGGTAAAATGAGTAATTAGGGATCTTTGTATGATGATATGAGATTAATTAGACAAGAATTCTAATTAATGAGATGTAAGTCACTTTGTGATAAAAGTACAATTAATGTGAGTTTTTGGATAAAAATACAATATTTCAAAAGTTACCAGAAACTTGAGAATGAGTTAATGAGACACTACCTCATGAGCATAGTTAATGTTAAAAAATCATGTTAGATGATCTAATCATAGTTTGTGAGTTGAATTAAACATTTAATATTAAGTTAAGGCTAGATTGTAAGTTATGAAAGAAAGGTTTGTGAGTTGGACCTTTAATTTTTTGCAATTTAATTTTGTTTTTGTTATTTTAATTTAGTTTTATTTTAATTGTTATTAATTTTTCTATTTTTGGTGACCCTAGATTCTTACAGTTTGTTTGATCCAGAGATAGAGAAGACTGTCAAAAGAAACAGAAAGATTGCAAGAGAAAAGAAGCAACAGGAAGCGTCAAGTTCTACCATATTAAAAGAAGAAGAAATTATGGCAGAGAATGGTTAGGTGGAGGTGTTGGAGAGTGAACTGGTGGAGGAGGAGAATGAACTGGTGGTGGTGGTGAGTGGACAGATGCAAGAGGTGATTGAAAAGTTACAGGAGGTGATGGCACTGGTGCACTTGATCGTGAGATATCCTAAACTGGTGGTATTGTTGGTGGGATATCTTCAACTGGTGGGAGTGTTGGTGGCTCCTCAGCCTTTGGTGTTGGAGGTGGTTTAGCCTTAGGGGATGGAGTTGGTTTTGGTGTTGAGGGGACATGGCTATTCCCATTGCCTCCACCATGGTGCTTGTTACAGTCCGCAGAGCGAGTTAGCACTGGTAAGCATTGCATGGATGTCTTTTGATTATTTCTTCCAGATAAACAATTGTTTGAGTCATCAAAACAAACCAATGAATTGGAAGAAGGGATACAACTTTGAGCTTCCGCATTAAAGTAGTTGTCAGAAAATGTGAAGTTCTTCAACATAGGTAGCTGACAAATGGTGTTAGACACATATCCACTAAGCTTGTTGTGTGCAATATCTATGACCTCCACATTCTTCAATCCTGACATGTTAGGTAGAGTCCCTACCAAACCGTTACTGCTAACATCCAAAACAGTCACATTTTGTAGCAAACCAAGCTCTTGTGGGAAGCAGCTTCCAAGTCTATTGCCCATGAAGACAATCTCATTCAAATTCACCATGTTCCCAATAGATTTTGGAATGCAACCTGAGAATTTGTTGTTAGCAAAGTTCACAACCGAGGCCTTTGATTTTCCTAGAGTTTCTGGGATAATAGATGTGAAATGGTTGTTGTTCAAGAATATTGCATCAAGATCTTTCTCAAATAGCTGTGGAGGTAAAGCTCCTACAAATTTATTGTATCTGATATCCAAGTACTTCAAGCTTGGCCATGTAAGGACCACAGAAGGAAAACCACCAACAAAATGATTGTTGCTGATGTCAAACTCAAACACATGAGCGAGATTCTCTAAGCTCTGTGGGACAATTCCACAGAATCTATTTGAGTTGATGTGGAAAAGTGCAATATCTTTCAAGAGGCTTAACTCTTTTGGGAGGTGCCCAGCAATGTCTGCATTGTTAAGATCAATACCAGCAACTACACTCAATGTGGGATCATCAAGAGCAGGAGCACAAAACAGACCATTGTAGGAGCAAACATCATAACCAACCCAGTTACCTGTTGTGTTAAAAGGGTCAGAGTAAATAGCCTTTTTCCATGCTTGAAGAGCAACATAGGCATTTTCTAGCCTTTCATTGGCAAATGTTGTATTACAATTGTTTTCATGAACTTCAGCTGGTGGAACATCACCAACTTTTGGGAATGTTATAGGTTCTATTGGCTTAAAAATGGGAAATCTACCATGAAAATGATCATGAAAAAAGGTTGAAAGAGAAGGAACAACTAGAGAAAATAAGAGAAAGCAACCTAAGGCCTGGTTTGAAAAATGGTGAGCCATGTCTGACCACCTTGGATGGCCCAAGGCTGCATCTAGGATATTGTGGAATGAACAAAAGTGTGTTATATTGAGAAAGGGACAAGGTTTGTTGGTTGACAACCATTAAGGTGCTGTAGAAATTAGTTTCTAGCTAGTTTTAGTTCCGAATTCCATGGATTCTCTCTCAGCTAGCCACAAATTTTGGCATGCCTCCAATTTTGTTTAGGCATATTTAGGTGAACATATAAGTTGTAATCATGACAAGATATCCTGTATAAACGAGTCAACTAGTAACCAATGATTCATTGACTAAATTTGGTTGTTCTTCAACAAACTAAGTACTAAATTTGTTCTAGTTTCAAATCCCATATCAGTATTAATCTTCTTAAACTCAACCGAGGCAGATCTATATTGGAGGGAGGTTGACAAATATAGGTATTATATAGTTTTTTTATTCTATTTTTATCTATAATATCCCTCCACATTATTTTTAAAGTAATCTCTCACACATTGTCACAACAAAAAAGTTCCCAACAATTACTTCTTTTAAGATTTAAACTTTGGCACTTTGTTAACAGCAAAACTGAAAGAAAAATAATATATAATATTTTGGTTTATCAACAAAATAAAATAAAATTAAAATCAATAAATAATATAATGTACTAGTAAAAAGATCATAAGACAAATTGAACAGTATCTAAAGGCGTTGTAACAGAAACTTGCTTCATTTTAGTTTTTCTTTTGGGAACATCACCTGGGTTTAGGTTGTACTTCTTTCGTATTGTTTAGTTTAAAAAAAAAAAAAAAATCACAAATCATAATTTATATTATCATATAGCTTTGTTATTTTGTTGCCTCTCTTTTATGTTTTAAAAATTTAATATGATAAATATCTACTTGTCAATAAAGGGAAATGGCAAAACTAAATGTTAAAGCTTATTAAATTGATAAGACGTTTTTTTTCTTTTTTTTTGGGTGGGGGAATATTAAGGGAAATCAAAACAAAACTGCAACAAACAACAACAAAAATCTAAAAGCAGACTCTCTGCAGTTTCAGATAGTTTACTTTATATGAACATGTTATAGTATAAATTTGATGTGATGGTAATGCATGTCGGAGGTTTAATCTATAAAATAAATACATTTTATTCCAAAAAAATATTTTCGTTTATTCATTTTAATAAAATTTAAAAGCTATTTTTTCATTAAATTCACACATTTATGCGGTCTACATGTAAAGCTTACGATTGATTAATATTTTAATGTAATAAATATTAATTTTTAAAATAATAAAAGACAGTTTTTTATTGAGAAATATATGTATTTCGAATGAATAGTTGTTAGAAAATTAGTTGTACTTCTTATTTATTTATTTTTTATTTTTTTTTGTAATAACTTCTTATTTATTATTATTATTATTATTTTTGGTACATACTTCTTATTTATTTAGTATAGGTAGAACTTGTAATTAAAACTAGCCGAATGGATATGGGACAATGTCTTCATAGATTTTATAGTCGGTTTAACATTGTATCGGTAGATTTTATAGTAGGTTTATAGGGATGATATAATGTTATATGAAAAATATATTTGTCATATTGTAGAGATAAATTGTCTTATATAATACACAAAAATATAAGTGGGACCCACATGCCCAACAAGGAAAAGAGAAAAAAAAAATAGTGGATCCTACCTACTTTTTTGTGTGTTGCATAAGATAAATATGCAACATAAGAAATACATTTCCCATGTTATATAGGTCATAATAGACATAATATAAAAAATTATTCATTTCTTGCCCGTCAAGGCAAAGAGTACTACACAAAAGCTAGCACATATGTATGTTAAAGAAATGGTAAGATTTTATGGGATGCTGAAGAGTGTAGTGAGTGATTGTGATCTCAAGTTCATTTCCATATATTGGGGAGCTTTACAACAGATTTTTTTGTACTCAGCTGAGTCTTAGCGGTGCCTACCACCCTCAAACAGATGGACAAACAAAGAGAATTATACAGACTCTAGACGATATAATGCGAGCATGCATGCTTGAGCAGGGTGGCAACTATGATACATATTTACCCTTGGTGGAATTTGCCTACAATAATAGTTTTCCTTCCATTTAGGCATGGTGTAAGAACCTTCACCGTTAATTAAGGAAGTTAATTAATTAATTATGTGAAATTAGGAAATAATTCTATAATTGACCCTAATAATTATTCTAAGGCTTAAATAATATTGGTAAGTTATTAATAATGCTAAAAGTCGCTTTTCTGACGAAAAGTGCAGATACCAGTTCTGTTACTCGCTATAAATGCGTACCGATAAAGTATCCCGGAAAATTATGAAAAGTGTGTATATGTCACTAGAATAATATATAGGACTTGTAAAACAAGTTTCAAGTTAAAATAATGAGAACTGATGCCAGAACTGATACTGGCTATGGAAAAACGCGTACCAGAAAGGTGCTGCGAAAAATAAAATAAAAATACGATAAATCTTAGAAAAATGAGTAGGTTCAGAATCCTAAGTTTGGGATTAAAATGATAAGCGTAGCAATTAGCGCTAATACAGTGCGATTAAGACTTAAGTGGCTATATATATGATTGACACATGATCCTAGGGCATTTGTTGATGTTCCTACGTGAGAAATTCTGAAGGGTGGAGTCAGCCACCTTGCAACCACCTCTCCCCCACCTCTTGTGAACCAAGTTGTCACCTTTCTTCTTGCTTTCTTCACCAAACCTCCTAGTGTGAGTGTGCTTGGGCCTTGGGAGAGGGAAAGATGCTTCTTTTCTGAGTTTAGTTTCTGTGTTGGTACTCTTTGGGAGATGAGTTCTTGTGTTGGGTTGTGGGGGTTATCTTCTTGGCTTGTGGAGCTCCAATAAGCTTCCTTTGTAAAGAAAGGACCCATCTATTGTGTGCCATTTTCGTGCACCTTGTGAAGTCAAACTTGAGGAGCTGTTGGTGAGCTCCAAGAGCATCCTTTGCTCTGTATTGAGCCTTGGGTAAGTTGTGCAACCTTTGATCATGAGTTTTATTGGTTAAAGTGGAGTCTTGGCATGTTTAATGAGTTAAACAAGTAACCAACCAGTATATGAACCTTAAAGAGTGTAAAAATGCATGCTTTAACGTTTTAAAGTGTTAAAAATGGAACATTGGATGTTATATCTCGCGAAATGCAGAAACTGCATTCTGTCGCGAAATATTCAAATATTGATATCCGGATATGGGCTTTGTGATATCCGGACATGGCCCCGACATATATCCAGATATTCTGGGTTTTCGAAGAACAGTAGCTGCACTGTTCATACAGAATTGTGTTTGGGGTTTGTGGACCCTAGATTGGTTAAGTTGAACTTCTGTTATGATTAATCTAAGTCAGAATCAAGTGATTAAGGGCTTATTACTTTGTGAGAAGCCTTAAGACATGAAACGTAAAGGAAAGACGTTATCTTTGTGTCTTATGCTTGTTGTGTATGATTATTGATGTGATTGCTGGTCCAAAACAGATTGTGATTCTGCTGTGTTTCGGCTTTGCGCTTGGTTGGACTCTTGGCTTGGATTGTTAGCTTGCAAGGTAAGCTTTCGTGTCCTCGGTTTAGCCATTGTGTGGTTCCACCATACCCCATGGGGAATGGTTTATATGCATGATGTGTTTACATGCATTGATAATTGAAAATGCTGTTGAGCTTTATGTGCAAGGGCTTTTAATATGTATGTATTGTTCCACTTAGATGGTTAGCCTGAGTATGTGGCGTCATACAAGACGGTGACACTGTGGGTGGGTGCAAGTGGCGTCTTGCATTAGTGTGGGTAATAGACGTATTCCTGCATTTCTCTGGCCAGTAGATTAGTTATAACACACATGACATGATTATCTGCTGCATTGCACTATTTTGGAACTTATATTGTTTAACTGTTTTTGGAACTTATATTGCACATGTAAGTGAGCTTGGGGTGGAAGATCCTTGAGGACCCCTTGTCTTACTGAGATTCCTGTTTAGAGATCTTACCCCACGTTTGGGGCGCTTATTTCAGGTTCAGATAACCCAGGGGTTGAGACCTCTAGCGGCAGGAGGCCGGAGCTTAGTTGATTGATGTTTATCTGCTCATGCTGACTATGCTTGGATGCTAGTTTATGTCTTTTGATATCATGCTTATAGCTTCATTTGATGTTATTGTTGAGACTCTGTTGATTATGTTGCTATTTGGTGAGCATGGGGATTGTCCATGCCACGTTGACTTGACTTATGTTTTTAGCTTTGAGTTGTATTAATGTATCAGGATATTGTCCGGACTACGTGTTGTAGACCCGTGACTTAGATACTCACTTATTTATCTATGAGGTATTTCAGTTAGCTGTCTTTTGCAATTTACATACAGGCGATGTTTTTATGAAATTGATTAAGTAATCAACTTGGCTAAGTTTAATGACGTCATAATTGAAAAGAAAAAGATATTTCGCATTTTAATTAAGTGTGGCCTAATACAATGACATGTTAACAAACCGGGTATACACGAGGTGTTACACATGGCACCTTATGTGACACTCTATGGTAGGAAGTACAAATCTCCTACTTGTTAGGTTAGAAGCAAATTTTAGCATTGAAGTTAGTCCAAGAAACCTCCATAAAAATCCATATGATCAGAGTTAAGGGTGTGCAAAATATGAACTGAACTGATTTATTAACCGAATTGGTTTTCAAAACCAGTTTAAGAACCGATCTGCTTTAAAAAATCATGAACCAAATTGTTTTTTTTTTCTCTATTTTTCTTCCTTATTTATTTTGTTCCTTCTTTTATCTTTATTTTTATTACTTTATTTCTTTAGTTAGTTATTTTTATTTTTCTTCTATTTTGTTTTTTCTCTTATGTATTTTTCTCTCTTATTTTTACTTTATTTATTTTTCTTTTTAATTGTTTATTTCTTTTCTTTTTTTCAAACTTATGGTATTATTTTTATTTTTATTTTTTGCCCAATGTTTTCATACTTTTCATATAGTTTCGGAACTGTTTCAAAA